CCCCCCCCCCGCAGCTCCTGCCTCTCGGTTCTGCCTACAGCCCCTCCTTGCACACGAAGGTAGACACCCTGCCTGCATTCCATTTAATCCCAGTATCCCAGGGCGTGCGGCTTGCTCTCCTCTGCCCAGCTTCACCTGCAGGCCCTGTAGCTGCCTCCAGCTCACACATCCAGAGCCCCCCTCTGCCTCCTCCCACGGCGCATGGCGCCCGTCCCCCAGCAGCCCCGGAGGGGGACGGCCCCAGGAGCTGTCACCAGCCTGGAACCCCACCGGCCAAGCTTCCCCGGCCGCCCACCTACCTGAGGGTCCTTCCGTGCCCGGAGCTGCACCCTGTCCTGATGGGCCGGCCGTCACCCAGAGCCAGGGCGCTGCTCCTCTTAAATTACCCCTTGGGGCCCACCTCCCCCCGTAATTACAAGTGCGGGGAGCGGGGAGCCTGCTTGCAGCCCCGATGCCGTGGGCGTGGAGGGAGGAGGACTCACACTCCCTGGGGGACGTGGCACCGTCCGGGGGTGGCGTTCCGATGGGGGAGATACCCTCCCACGGCACTGGGTCCCCTCCCGGCTCCGGGGCCTGTCTGTTCTGGGCGGCCTTGCGAATGAATATTTGTATTTAAAAATGTATTTTTATTATTTCAGAGAGGAAGGGGAGGAGGAGAGAGAGAAGCATCCATGAGGAGAGAGAATCATGGACCAGCTGCCTCCTGCACGCCCCGCCCTGGGGATGGAGCCACAACCCGGGCCTGTGCCCTGACCGGGAATGGAACCGTGACCTCCAGGTTCATAGGTCGACGCTCAACCACGGAGCCACGCCGGCCGGGCAACTTATAATTTTGGTGGCGCCGGCCGACTTCCCCAGTGGCCCTGCCCTCCCTCCCCCGTACCCCGAGGGAACCCTGCTGTGCATCTCAACTGCAGGGGTGTGGGCACTTCTTGGCCTCGTATGTGGAGTCGGACAGCGTGTACCCCCTTTCATCTTCCTCTCACGGAACACACGTGTTTTTTGAAACCCATGTTATCGCGTCCGCCGGCAGTTTTATTTTCTTCTCCCTGGTTATTGCGTGTGGTTATAGACCCGAGGCCTCTACTTAATTTTTTAAAGAAGCTGCCACACTGTGACTACGTGGTTTTCAGGGCGGGTTGTGTGTGCGTGTCTGGCGGCTGCTGTAACAACTGATCCCGAACCTGATGGTGTAGAAGGACACACATTTATTTTCTTATATTTCTGGAGGCCAGCACTGTGACTACGTGGTTTTCAGGGCGGGTTGTGTGTGTGTGTGTCTGGCGGCTGCTGTAACAACTGATCTCGAACCTGATGGTGTAGAAGGACACACATTTATTGTCTTACAGTTCTGGAGGCCAAGCGTCCGAAGGCAGTCTGATGGGCTGAGTAAGGCGTGCAGCCCTAGCCAGTTTGGCTCAGTGGATAGAGCATCGGCCTATGGACCAAAGGGTCACGGGTTCGATTCCGGTCAAGGGCACGTACCTCGGTGGCAGGATCTTCCCCGGCACAGGCCCTGGTCGGGGCGCATGCAGGAGGCAACCCATCGATGTTTCTCTCTGTCTCTCCCTCTCTCTCCCATTCTCTCTAAAAAATCAGTGGAAAAATATCCTTGGGTGAGGATTAACAACAAAAAAATAATAATCTACACTAATAAAAGGGTAATATGCTCATTAGACCGGACGTCTTCCAGACATCCTTCTGGATGTCCATCCAGACAAAGCCACGATGGCAGGGGCTGAGGCAGAGATGGTTATGGGGCGATCAGGCCAGCAGGGGAGAGCAGTTAGGGGTGACCAGGCCTACAGGA